GAGAGAGAGAGAGAAAGAAAAAGAGAGAGAGAGAGAGAGAGAGAGAGAGAGAGAGAGAGAGATGCTCCTGCAGACTCGCCGGACTGCCGAGGCTCTCGTCCCACGACAACCATTACCAACACTCCACTCAAGGCTGCACTTCAGCCTTCAGCCCGCAGGAGCCTCGCGGGTACCCGGACATCGCGCCAGACGGGCAACTACGCACACTATTGGGGGAAGCCCATCCACCCTGGCCCCGGCGCCCCCTGCGCCCCCGTCTAGGCTGGGCTCCGGCAGCTTTACTCACCGACGCGCTCCCCTCCGCTCCCGGCGCTCTCTGCCGAGCCAGAGCTGCTGAAACAGGCTTCTTGAATGTTTTAGCCCCTCCTCCCGGACTCCTGAGTCACACCCTCTCCCAATCCTGACCCCACCCCACCCTCTGTTCCCCTTCCCACCTCCAACTCCAGCCCCGCACCTGCTGTGGCTGGGCGGAGAAGCCCAGCTGTAGGGGGGTCCTGGGGATGGGAAGCTCCCTGGTGGACTGGCCAGATCCTGCCAGGAAAGACTTCAAACCCCCAGAGGTCAAAGGGAGACGCACCGAGGTCCGAAGGGGATTTTCACAAGGGCCCCCAGGCTGGGACGGGGGGAAGCTGCCTGGAGCTCGCCTCCTCTCCCGCCCTGCCCTACCCCTGTGCCCTGCCAGCCTCCAGCGCCTCCGCCTCCGGGGTCTGCCCTGTGTGGCCAGGAAAAACAGCTGCTCCTAGCAAGCTAAACCAGCACCAGCAGGAGGGGAGCTCCGTGAGAGGAAGGTGCCTGGGCTTCTCACACAGGTAAGAGCGGTGACTCTCAGACCAGGAATTGCTAGAAGGTTCCCTACAGAGCGAATTTGGCGTGGAGGTCAAAAAGCAAAGGACTTGAGGATCAGGACACCCTGTACCTCCACCACCAGCGTTAATTTAAGAACCTGGATTCTGAGAGCTTCCCTGGGTCCCTGATCCCTCTGACGGTGTAAGTGAATTGTGTCTGGGTCCATGGCTTGCAGTTCTCCTCAGATTTGCAAGGAGGGTTCTGTGACCCCACACTAACCAGGCAGTGCACCTTCTGTCCCAGGCCCCAGGCCCTACTCAAATCCCACTTTACCTGCACTATGTGGATCGTGAGGTGTGATTTCCAGGCCTGCCACCGAGATGTCTCGGGTTTAGAGCCTGACAGTAGGGCCTGGCTGATTTAAGCCTGCCCTTTGGCCTGAGTTAGTTTGCACCCCAGTCCCAAACTACCGAGGCAGAAATCTGTCTAACCTAAAAATTGTCACCAAATGTGCATTAGCAATTATGATACCATTTCGGGGTCCTTGAAAATTTACACCTCCATTCCCTCCCTTGTTGACTTTGCCACCTGTGTTCACGTTTTCTTTTGGCAGAGGTGTGTCCAACCTCTACCCTGTTCCGATGCCACCGAGAAGAATGCATTTGGGAGACTGATGGATGGGAGAGTGAAGCCCTGAGTCCCCCTGCTGCTGGTGACATCATGCCAGCATCACTCAGGGCACCCTCCGTGGTGCTGTGGCTCAGTGAGACCCAGGAATCGTGTTACGAGTACAAGGTGCTCCTTCACAAGTGCACACACCCACATACACCTTCAGAAAGAAACCGAGCAAAGAGGCCTTGCCTAGGTACTTCCAAATCCTGGGCACAGATTTGTCTGAGGTCTCTGCTTCTTTCTTTTTCCCCTTTGCCCCAAACCTACGTGCATTCCATTTATATATGACTGAGAAGGGTTCAGTAGGAGGAAACCCCTGGAGCTGGAAGTCAGCCTTAGCTTTCGAAAGTCCATGTCTAGGTTTTTCAGATGTAGGCAAGTGAGTGGACCCAATTTGGGTAGGAGGGCAAAAGGCTAGGGAACACCATAAATGGTCTGTTAGGAAGTTTATCATTATCTGTTAAATAAAGGAATTTCCAGACAACAGTACGACTTCATCAATCATGTCGTGTGTGCAATAAATTCGTTCGGAAAGCACAACCCCCTGGCCTTGCACAATGATTGACTAAGAATTTAGGGATGAAATTAAAAATTTTAGAATAACAGAATTTGGCTGTTGAATATAGAACTTTTTTTCTGTGTCCTTGTGGCGTCACCCAGAAGGACAAAAGGATTTGAGGCACTTGTGGTTCTTTTTCATGCGGTATAGAAAAGGGGGATTTGAAAAGGAAGTAAGCAGAATCTAAGCCCAGATGTCCCACCCCCAAGCTGTTGATCATATTCTTATGGCCCATGTTGGTTTAATAAGAGTTCCTTTCCATTTTAACTAGATCTGTTTCTGTCTCTAAATTTGACATATCTTGAGTAAGTTAGAGCAAGAAACATAAAAACTTCAAAGGTTATGCATCCAGAGCCTAATATGTGCAGAGTACTATGTGAGGGGTGCTGTCAGAGAGGTTGTGTTCCAGTGCTTGATTATAACTCTGACCGTGTTTGTCACGGTCTCCCCAGGTCCTTTGCTAGGACCTGGCTCACAGCAGCAATCAACAAATCCAGTGATGATCAGCGTCACTTGTGGCTGTCAGAAGACCCATTCACCCTGGATTGGTTGCAAGCCGGTTTCATATCAGGCCAGCCTTGGCTCAGAGATCATAGCCAGGTGCCTTTACTTTGTCTTTTCTACTTTAATGAAGGACTTGAACAGAAGCACCTTTCTCCTGGTTCATCTAGAGAAGGGTCATAAGGCGTAGAGCAGCTTGGTATATAAGAATGAAAACATTCAAGAGGGCAGTGGCCAGAAAAAGTGGTGCAGAGAAGCAGGATAAGAGTTTTGCTTTTGCGCTAGATTTTCTCGAAAGAGCTTTTCATCCAAGGTATCAAAATAGCCAGCAGCTGATGCATTTGCTGACTTGGAGGACAGATTGTGGCGGGTGTAGTAATTGTTGTTATTTCTGAGGATGCAGAAGCCTGCAGCCATTGAGTGGTTCATCCACAGCAGTACTTAGCCTAGCACAGACCTCCTGCCTTTCCCTCACCTTATTCCAGCACGCCAGGACAAAGTATGCATGCTATTTAAAACACCATCAGGCTCCACAGAGATCTGCCAGCATGGGGGAAACCATGGGATCTGCTAACTCTATGTGTGAAACAGAAATATTGTCCCAGTTGTGGAGGACGTGAGAGCTTCAACTCAGATTTCTTCTCCCCTTTTCCTTCTAGTGAGCATGAAGAAGAACTTCAGAAGAGCGAATGTTTCACAGTGCTTAATGAAATGGCATCACCACAGAATCACAAAGGATCAGTCTAGCCACCTTATGAATAAGGAAACAAGGGCTTGGGAAGGACACAGGTTCAGCCAAGTACAAGTGACTGGTGTCAGCAATGGAACTTCGGCTTCTGGGCTTCTAATTTTCTTTTGGCAGCTTCAGCCTATAGGAGGAGACTGGTGACGGGACAGAGGCACGTGGGGCACCCTTGCCCACGCCTCCCAGCTTCCACCCTCCCTCTCGGGTGGCCTCATTTTCTCCATCTCTACCAGTCCTTCCCTTTTGCTTGCCAAACTTCACTTGCCTTCTTTCTCTTAAAGACACTACTGACCCAACTGCTGAATTTCTCAGCTTCCGTCCACTATCAAATTCTTCAGCAAAATGATCTACACCCATCATTTCCTTGGCTCTGCTTAACTTCCTACAGTCAGGTCCCCTTCTTCCTCCTCTCCTCACCCCCCACCCCCGCCATGTACTCTTAAGTGTTGCCAGTTGCAATTACCAATACCACCCAACAATGAGAGCAGCATTCATCAAGGGTTTCTCTTATTTCAGATGCTGGGCAAGGCACTTTCGGGAGTCCTATCCGTGAGTACCCTCCATTTCTAGGCTAGGAGGCAGAAGCTCTTGGAGGAAGTCACATCACCTGTCTTGTGGCTGGACAAATGGCAGAGCAGAGATTTGCCCCTATCGTGAAGAAGCTCATGACACACCATATTGCCTCCTCTTTCTCCTTTTAGTCAAGTTCTGCTGCTCTCCTGGTTCCCAGCCTGCTATCCTGATGACCTCCTGCGCCGAACACTTTCTTTCCTAAGCCTCTGTGACTGAGCTGTCCTGAGTGACTGACTGTCTGCCTCAGGCCCGGGGCTTTCCATGCTGCACCCTCAGTCCTTCAGTTACTCCTTTCTATTTTGCTGATTCCAAGAAGATCTTAAACTCTGGCCTCTCGTGGATACTCCCTCAGCCATCAGAATTTCAAGGTTTCACCATATCGAAGATGCTCCCTAGTATTTGTCTAGCCCACCCACGCAGACCCTAACAGGGACCATGCGTCCTTCTCCCCTCTGACGTTCAGCCCCTTATTCAGCCATCAGCTGCTCCATGGTCTCAGGTCAGGGCCAATTCACCTGGGACAGTTCAGCTTTCTCCTATGTGGGCACCAATGCCCAGGAAAGCCACCACCTTGGAACTGGCGAGCTTTAGTCATCTGTCCCATCTACCCACCAAAGTAGTGTGAATTGGGGGAAAAGATCTATCTTCTTTGATCCATGACTATTATAATTAGCAATAACTATATAGATTAAATATATTACATAAATAAGTTCTGAACACCTGCTCTGGGTCAGTCCTGTTGAAGGTGCTGGGGATTTAGCAAGTGAACCAAACATCCTCTAGGCACATGGAACTTTAATTTTAGTAATGTGCTAAAATGTATATTATTTAATGTGCCTTATATACCAGTCCCATGAAAAGAAAATGTGGTTTTTTGGACAGGAGAGTGTGATGAAAGCAGAGGCAGGCAGTGATGATACAGGAGCAGGGAAGACACAGGAGCCCCTTGGGGACTGAATCCCAACTTCACTCGCCTGACCCACACAGTTGCTAACCTTCTCGCTCCCAGACTGGTCTGACTGTTCCTCCAGTGGCCTCCTTGTGCCATCCTTGACACTGTCCTCAGAGGCCTCTCCTAGTGGGGCAGGTCCTGGTGGCCCTCCTGAGCCCATAGCCAAGGCAAGCACACCTCCAGGCAGGTCCACACTGCAGCCCTCACCTACCCTGGAGCTGGGACGCTGCTGTGGCTGTACCGTACTCTCTCCTTGATGTGGTGACAGTCAAGGCTCAATAATACTGAGACAGGCAGGACCTTCAAACCTTTGCAATAGTGGATACTGGGGTGGGTGGGCTCTGTCACCTCCCGGTGACACTCTGAGCCTCTGGCCCAGAGATTCAGCCTAATGCAATTAATAAAATCCTGTTCCAATATCTTAAAGATTACTAGCTTTCCTCCCACCTCTTACTTTACCTGGCCCAATCTTCTTCTTTTGAGACACATTTCTTAGAATCTTTGAAGACACTTTGGGGTGGGGGTGCTTTCCCTGAAGTCAAGATCTGGTACTTTTTCTAGTACTTGTACAGCACCTATCTTGCTCAGAGCACAAGTTTAATGTGTATTCTTAAATGACAGCACCTAAAATGTCAGGAGATAAAGTTGGAGCAGTCACAGATGAGGTTGAGGAGGCCCTGGATTGTGGAGGGTAGGATCAGACCAAATGCTGAGAAACTACCTGGGCCTGCAGTGGCAGCGCAGTGAATAATGATGGCAGCAGCTTGAGACAAGTGCTTGGGAGCTAAGCGTGCAGAGACATTTTTGCAATAAATTTTAGAAGGTATTCTCACTGGGATGAGGGAATGGCTGGCTGAGGAGGCAGAAAGGGAGGGAAGTGGGTCTCCTGGAAGGTCCCTGTATTCCAGATTTGCCTGGCCAGGTAAATGCTAATGCCATCTATGGAGATGGGGCAATGGGAATGAAGCCCATGGGCAGGCTGGGAACCAGTTCAGGATTTTATGGGTCACATGTGATGCTGAGGAGCATACATGAAACACAACGGGGAGGGCAGGAGTGATGCCAAGGCCAGCGGTCTCTGAACACTGCACACAGGCTCAAAGGAATGGTGCCGTTGCCTGCTGAGGACTTACCTCCCTCAGAAGCCCTGGCCTTACTCTTCTGCCAGCTAGTGCCAAGCCAGCCGAGGGGGACAGAGGACTAGCTCCTGCATTTGATGGTTCCTTCTGCTTGTTTATGTCTGTAATACATCAGTTTCCTACTTGGAAGTGCAGGCCAAAGAGTAAGGGAAACAAGGAGCCCAGCAGATGATTACCGTGCCTAGCCCATGTCCTTGCTTTCTTATTCTCCTCTCTGTGGCCAACAGCGTTTTTCCTGGTCTCCCCAGGCACAGTCCCTCTTAACTAAGTCTTGTCTTCAGCTCCCTCTACTCTAGGTTTATAGTAGGCTCTTCAATCAAGTCCTCCAAGCCTGATTCTTGATATTTAATGAGAATTTAAGGGATTCAGAAAACTTTTTTTTTTAAACCTTGAGAATGCTTGTCTTTCAAAAACAATGTCTTGTTCTGGACTCAGTTTTTGATGTGGGAAATGAATTCGACACTCACTTTGCATTTCAGCTGCAATAACCCCAGAAGTATTGTATGGAAAGTGCATGTTTCTGTCAGAATGGAGGGAGATCACACTCTAGGAAAAGCAAAAGAATATACATGCATCCCCTATTATATTACATTCACACGCAGTAGGCTGCTGTCTCCACTAAACTACAAAATACTTAGGCATTTTCAACTCCTAGTACCCATCATAATGTCTGGAGTATAATAGCACCTCAATAAATGAA